CAAAAAACATGTTATTAATGCTTGTTCGTTTTCTTCTAGGAAAAGTCACATTCACCAAACAAGAAGTGTGCGTTGAGGAAGATGTCCTTCTTGACTGTCAAGCGAAATACAGAACAAATCCACTTCACCTCAGGCGCGTTATGTGGCACAAGAAAGATGCATCGTCATGGTCTTTGGTACTCGCTTCTGATAAACAGAACGTTTCCCGTGACGGGATAAAACTTCACGACAATGGATCACTATTACTTCCTGCAGGAAGACCGACCAATGAAATGAAATACAAGTGTGATGTCATTAAAAACGTCATCAGTCCACGAGAAAGACACGTTGTCATTGTGAAAAACGTCAAGTGCCATCGAGAAAAACGATTCGTTGCTGGTAAGCCAGCGATCACTAACGCGGCCATTATCATTAGTTGATATATGTATTTTAAACAGTATTCATATCATATCCATGTCCGAACAACTGTAATCATTGCTTAGTAACAGTACAAACGACAGCTTAAAGTGAAACTATTCTTACCGTAATAGCAACCATCAAAACAACAGAGGGTAGAGCTGCCATGACAACCATTGCACCGATCCAAGCAACAACAGTCTCCATGGAAACAAGTCCTTCTTCGGTCACCAGCGAAAAGACTGTACAGCCTAGTACTCAGTTTACCTCATCGCCTACAAAGGAAGACAGTGGCTGTGAGTATTCTTGTAACTTGACGCAAAGTTTTAACAAATTCAGTGATGAGAACCTTCTTTGCAGTTTGTGGAAAGACTGTCCATACGTCTGTTTCTGGTGGATTCCAATCTCCGAGTTTCCCAAGTCCATATCCTGCCAACTCTTACTGTAAATGGACCATCAGTGTGCCCCAGGACTACGCGGCCATTCATATTACACTAAACGTAATGAATCTAGAACACGAGGCGAACTGCCAGTAAGTACACGATATCAACAGTTAACATCGCTCACAGTGTCGTTAAATTAGGTTTATATTCCAGGAATGACTACATTGCAATAACGGACGAGCTTGGTAATCAAGTTGGTTGTCGTCAGTGCGGTTCGCCCAACAAGCCAATCACATTTCACATCAAAGGAAAAGTAGCAGTRGTAGAGTTCAAGTCTGACAGTACAGTTCATAAAACAGGATTTCAGTTGATCTACAAAGCAACAAAACGGGTCGAATGAAATGGAGCTCGTTCACTTCCATAAGTATTTTGCTATGCAAAGATTTGTAAACGTTTTTCAGGGGATATGAAATTGTAAATACAGCTATTTCATGACACAGAAATGGGACATTAGTAATTAATAAAAAAGGAAACATGAAAGAGTTAAAAGAAGGCGTTTATCCAGAGTGATCTTCTTTTGCCTTGATTTTTCCTTTTAATAGACTACAAATGTTCTTTTCTATGAGGTTTCTAGGAGTGTATTATTGTTATCAGAAATAATTATAGGATCATACTTATTTTAATACTTATGGAAATATTTATTTCTTATTGAATGTCTCAATACGTTACTGGATTATTTATTGCTATTAATAAAGAATATTTTCAAACATATAGCTGGATTACTTTATGAATAAAAAGTGCTTAGAAGAGCCTTATTCCTGGAGATAGAACCTTGGAAATAAATTCGGAAAAATAACTGTCTGACCTCGCTGGGATTTGAACACACGACCCTCAATTTTTTCACACTATAGATGGTCTACCAGCTGATAAATTCAAAACAAATAATTCTACCATAAAACATATCAAGTAATTTGGACAGAAATCAAAACTTAAATTCGCTTTTAAATATGAAAGCTATTTCAATATGGCCATCTTAGTTTTATCGAAAGCTAAAATATTTAAGAGAATATCAATAATCCCATTTGAAAGAGCTGCTCAGGATAGAAATCTGTATTTTGCAAAGTTTCACTTTTAAACTTGCAATGTCATAGATTGAAAACCGAGAGATTTTGGAAAAGCAGTTCCTTTGTAGCATCGTTTTGGTGTTTTTCACAGTTTCAAACATTTACAACAACTACTGACAAAGTCAACGTTTTTAGCTGAAACTCGTACACCTTTTTGAAAGCAAAATAGTTAAGTAAATCAAGGCCGCCATATTGAAATTTGGTCATTTTTTGTCCTGGTGAAGCATGTTCGATGTGTTTGTGATATAGCGGTACACGATGTTCATGTGAACAGGATGCTCAAGATAGACAGAGATGTAGGATCATGGCAACCGACCCTCAGTTAGGGAATTAATAATGGTGCAGGCAAAATAATACGATATGTATGTGCATCTATGATAGAACCCTTTAAGCAAATGCTTATTGCCCACTGATCAGAAACAATGAAGCGTTGGGACAAAAATAGAAAAACAAACTAAAAATAACTCTAAAACATATGTAATGCCGGTGTAACTGGCGTTCAAAGCTTCGTTACATCGCAAAATAATCTAGCTTTTTTGCCAGTTTTCAAAATTTGTGGTGAGAAATCCCTGTATTCACATATACACAGAATCTCGATAGATATCTGATCGTGAGCCGATTGGGCCTTTCCTACCCACGTGTTGTTAAACTATTGAATAATAATCAGATTCAAATTAATAAAATGATGGTTTATAATAATAGTGGAAATAGCTAACAATCATTATTTACTAGTATATTGGTTCACCGTACTCAAAAGGCAATATGTCAATTAATATTTCGTGTTTTTTTTACAGTATATCAACCTTTTACATTACCCATCCATACCAGTGCCCGCGGAAATTATCGTTTTATGAAAATAACGTTCCCATTGAAGAAAAACAAGATATTCACCTTTTAATCCAAGAGTACATTACCTAAACCCAAAAACCCAGTGTTTTGTAATAAGGAAGTGTGTTTTTCCCCGTTTGTTTTACGATTGTTTTTAGAGGAAAGGCTTTGTATTACATTTTATGTTATGTTTAGAAGAAACCAAATTGTCTTTCCCTTTCACACAACATCGGTTCTAGCAAGCTGACGTTCTTTGTTTCACAGTAACGCTTCCCCAAACGAGCTGAAAGCAATTCTTATGCAAAACAGCGAAGAAAGTTTCTTCCTCTAAAAGACTTGACGCTGCAAAAATGATTTTAAATCAAATATTAAGTGATCCTAGTAAACCTCTTCCTGGTCAATACAACGCAGTATACCATCCAAGCTATGACACTGGTGAATCAAAACGACAGAAATCAACAACCAGTTAGATGGAGATATCACGTGACGTGGGTGTTGTCAAGAAATGGTCTACAACGCCGTTCAAAACATCCGTGTGCTAAACGGAAACTCATCGTGAAAGCTTCGTTAGCCATCGGGACTTTACCAATGCGTATAACTTGGCAATCAGACAAGTTGAACTAATAAGCTATTAATAGAGTGCGTCACTATAAGAGACTGTGTACTGACCTTAATGACACAAACACTATAATCTGTGCAAGAATCATCACTTCAAACCAACTAGACCATGTACCACAACCGATTGAACGCGATTTTCATATCTTTTTCGTATGTACTCGTTCTTGAAGGTAAGTCTTTTTATGCTTGTAGTATTAGGAGGAAATTTTAAAAAAATCAATCAATATCAAAAGTGCCCTCACCAATGAAAACATTAACTGACGTTCGTATTTTCCAATATTCGCCGTTTTTTGGAGAAAAAGTCCTAGCCTTCGCTTCAAGTTACAAAATGAATACCAATTTGAAAAAAATACAGATCAGATAGATAGTCCAATAGCTTTCGGGGAGACTAGAACAAAAGAGAAATTACTGCACGTCGGTTTTGAACATCCTCAGGCATTTAAACAAAATCATACTTATTACGAACAGCAGACAGAATCCTTAGCTACGTTTATCAAATTCATTAATAATTCATAAGGTAAACACAATAGAAATCATTGCTGTGACCGCATCTTTATATGAGCAAGAGATTTGTCCTGATTTGCATACGACTTTAACTTCGATTTTCTCTTACAAATGATATTTTATCCTGAAGTTTTTTCGAAATATGCTTTACCTTATGTTGTAATTTGATAAGCAATATAAAATATTAGCGTCCGACCTTTATGGGCTATAAAACTGCTCGCTTGCAGCTCGCAGGTTTCCCGCTTATATTTTATATATTACATACAGAGTTCCGTGATTCAGAGCAGTGAAATGTTGGATTCTCATGAGTCAAACACACTGTGGTCATTTGGTCATTGCCGGTTTGATTTGTACTTCCGGTGTAAAATGTTCCAATGTATTTTGACTTTGTTTATTTTTTTCCCAGGTGTCGTAGCTTCAGGTCTTTTAACCGAGCACAAACAATCCGCTTGCCATAACAGCAATGTTTTACTTGACTGCAAATACTATGAAAACATGGGCTCAGCGGCAGATCTCAGTTGGGGCTTCAGAGACGTCACAACACAAGGATGGAAGAGAATTGCATTGATAAGAAATGGGAACCGAAAGATTTTCAAGAATACAAGATTTGACGACAGAATAACGTTACACACAAATGGTTCATTGGAAATAAAGACTTTAAAACCTGAAGATGCAACGCGCTACCAATGTAAAGTCTCTAAGACAGGACAGCGAGATACGCACATCATCGAGCTTACTGTCATGTGTAACGGTGAGGATGAACCCAGTAATCGATACACGGCAAAAAACATGTTATTAATGCTTGTTCGTTTTCTTCTAGGAAAAGTCACATTCACCAAACAAGAAGTGTGCGTTGAGGAAGATGTCCTTCTTGACTGTCAAGCGAAATACAGAACAAATCCACTTCACCTCAGGCGCGTTATGTGGCACAAGAAAGATGCATCGTCATGGTCTTTGGTACTCGCTTCTGATAAACAGAACGTTTCCCGTGACGGGATAAAACTTCACGACAATGGATCACTATTACTTCCTGCAGGAAGACCGACCARTGARATGAAATACAAGTGTGATGTCATTAAAAACGTCATCAGTCCACGAGAAAGACACGTTGTCATTGTGAAAAACGTCAAGTGCCATCGAGAAAAACGATTCGTTGCTGGTAAGCCAGCGATCATTAACGCAGCCATTATCATTAGTTGATATATGTATTAACAGTATTCGTATCATATCCATGTCCGAACAACTGTAATCATTGCTTAGTAACAGTACAAACGACAGCTTAACGTGAAACTATTCTTACCGTAATAGCAACCATCAAAACAACAGAGGGTAGAGCTGCCATGACAACCATTGCACCGATCCAAGCAACAACAGTCTCCATGGAAACAAGTCCTTCTTCGGTCACCAGCGAAAAGACTGTACAGCCTAGTACTCAGTTTACCTCATCGCCTACAAAGGAAGACAGTGGCTGTGAGTATTCTTGTAACTTGACGCAAAGTTTTAACAAATTCAGTGATGAGAACCTTCTTTGCAGTTTGTGGAAAGACTGTCCATACGTCTGTTTCTGGTGGATTCCAATCTCCGAGTTTCCCAAGTCCATATCCTGCCAACTCTTACTGTAAATGGACCATCAGTGTGCCCCAGGACTACGCGGCCATTCATATTACACTAAACGTAATGAATCTAGAACACGAGGCGAACTGCCAGTAAGTACACGATATCAACAGTTAACATCGCTCACAGTGTCGYTAAATTAGGTTTATATTCCAGGAATGACTACATTGCAATAACGGACGAGCTTGGTAATCAAGTTGGTTGTCGTCAGTGCGGTTCGCCCAACAAGCCAATCACATTTCACATCAAAGGAAAAGTAGCAGTGGTAGAGTTCAAGTCTGACAGTACAGTTCATAAAACAGGATTTCAGTTGATCTACAAAGCAACAAAACGGGTCGAATGAAATGGAGCTCGTTCACTTCCATAAGTATTTTGCTATGCAAAGATTTGTAAACGTTTTTCAGTGGATACATACATATATAGTTATAAGAAATCATTATAGGATCGTACATATATTTATTTTAATAATGTCACATGGAGTGGTTGGTATATCTATAGGATCGTACATATATTTATTTTAATAATGTCACATGGAGTGGTTGGTATATCTATAGGATTATTTATTTCTTGTGGTAAAGAATCCATCAAACGTATTATCATAGTAGTATTTCTAATAATAAAGCATATTTTCAATATACAACTGACTCATTTATAAATAAAAAAAACTTTGTTAAAGGAATAACTTGTTAAAAGCGTGGATGATGGACGACGGCGTGTCATACTGTGGTTTCCAATGCGTGACTAAATAAAAGCGAAACTTGGCTTTTTTACAAAACACACATCTGCTCTCAACGGATTGTAATCGTTTTCCTGCAGAGGTTGCTCTCTTGACTAACACCTAGGGTGCTCTCCGTTCAGTCAGAACTGACTTGCCTGCGGTCTATTTTAGAAGTAAATCATATCTTTTGTCGAATTTTTTCCAGTAAATGTTTTTTTTTGTAAGTTTTCGTTAAGCGTATAAAATTTAGGCAGCATAGCCTAGTGGTCAAAGCGTTCGGGTCGTAATCTTGCTGTCCCTGGTTCGATTCCCGGTCTGACCACTGGCAGAGACTCAATTTGTTGCGTTTTCGATTAATTGAAATTCAGTTTCTCATAGAAACAAATGTTTCACCTCCTCGCCAGTTGACACAACGCTTATCTATTTTATATTGTTTATGATTGGGATTATTTGTTACAGCCACATTTCATCGAATTGGCGTCATATAAGTAATAAAGTTTATTACAAAAGTAGGAATTGATTTATCTGCCGTAACAGGAATGATAAATAATAACATTCTTTTTGGGTCAGTTCGGTCATTTCTGAAAATTGGAAAGCCTCCAGACTAGACAGTGACCTTAAATAGCTGAACTACAGGAAGAGCATTTATTTTTCAACAAAACTCCTTGACATTGATAGACGTCCTGGCTATAGCCTGAGTATCAGACTCTCTCTAAGGGGTTTGGGGCGTAGCTCCGCCCTAAACCCATTCGAGAGAGTCTGATATTCAGGTTATCCTGGCTATTGATTTGAGACCAAGTCATCCTAGAGCGAGTCTAATTTCGTTAACATATCTATTATATACAATTTTTTTACTGAGTTTTCTGCATTTTAAAATGTTATACATATTTATATTTGGAGTATTTGTGTGCTTGTCAATATTGATATTCTAAACTGATAAACTAATTGCAGAAATTTCTGAATTGACAGCTCAACAGTTCTATTTGAACTCAGAGAGTGTGCATGTAATCAAGAAAAAAAAGCATTAAACATTGACGACAATTACTATGAACACAACTGACATCACTACATTTTCTTTTGAGTTTTGTCCTTATTTCGTTTTCGCAATTTCTTTATTTGATGTTTGCTTGACCAGTAATCTCAGTTTGAAATCAGTCTTTTAGCCAAATACTAAAACATATTCAGTAAAAGTATTGATAGATTCCTTCGCAGTCTTCCCGGCTTTATTCCTGTCCCTCACAGGAAGCCCGACAGGCTTTGAAGGAGACTAAAGTATTCAAGGTATTTCAACATAGTTTCATGCTTGTACCAATTACACAATTACTGTCATCTTTAGTGATTAGTCTATCATTTTCTTTTTCTGCAAAAACGATTGTCTGTCTGTTTTCAATGTGGTAATCGCCGTGCTGTTGTTTCGCGGTATTAAAACGAGAAACAATAAAACAGGAAGTTGCTCAGTGTTCAGAAAGATAGAAAACTAAGCACAAAAATAAAAATGCATGAATAAAAATGAATTTTCATGATTTTATACAGCGAAATAAGTTAACAGACAGGAGTGATTGTTTCTTTATTAACACACCGTTACGCCGTGACCTGCTCTTTGATTTTTCACGGAGAGGAATACTTCTAGGAATACTTCCCAGGAAACATTTTTCACGATCTTTGCAGGAAGGAAAAGTTTGGCTAGTCTACCAACTATGACCCGCTATTATTCGCTTGGGTTTCTCGTCAAACAAATACTTTAATGCATGGAACAATAAAAGGTGCAGTCATCACGGCGTAGATATTGTTGCGTAATCTTATTGTAGTCATTATCATGTAAAAACGTGCATTGAATTCGTTCTAATAATAGTGACTTGACTTGTTCCGATCTGCTGCAATAACAATGACCTGTAACGCATGGAACAGCACAGCGTTGTTGATCCAGCGAAACACTTGATATGATATTATTAGCCATCAATAGAAATGTGTCATCAGGACGTGTTGACATCTCGAAAGTATGATTATATTTTCATATTTCAAATAATCATCGTTTATATGGTAAATATTCACTCAAAAATAATACTGATTGAGTACGCTGTACTAAAGCCAAAGAAGGGAATATTATGTTTCGCTGTTCTTAGTTCAGTCTAAATGATCGTAGGAACACAATGCCGAAACATGTTTTGCCTCAAACTCAAGTCTGTTGTTTCTTGGTATAGCAGGTTTGTCAGAAGGAAAGTTCAAACCGGAAAAAAATCAACAACCGGAAACTGAAAGCCCTATCTTTGCAAAACCAAGGCAAGGGGGTTTCCCCTACAATTCAATTCAGTATTTTTCGGAAGAAACTTAAAAGCTAGTAATAAACTATTTTTGCACATAAACATTTTACAAAAGAGCGATGTACTTGCTTATCGCAGTCATTGGTAAATCAACTTCTTATAGAGAGGACATCTAGTGGAATACAACAAGCCATGTTCAAGCTCATTGGTATCCTGCTATTACAAGGTATCTTAACCAGCTTTACATGAGACAGTTCGTGAAAAAAACTTTACCAATATCTCTCCTGCCATTAATATTTAAGGAATAAAAGACGAAATTCCGTGTTTGATACTCTGATCAAAACACGCGGGATGTAGGGAGAGCACGAGAGAAGCGTAGGAAACCAGAAGCGTAGGAAACCACGACGCGTAGCGGAGTGGTTTCCAGCTTTTCGAGTGCTCTCCCTACACCACAAGTGTTTTGATCAGAGTATCAAACACGGAATTCCGTCTTTTATTTCTTTTCTAAAATTAAAAGAAAAAAAAAATTTGACGCGCGCGAGCGTGTTTTGATACTGTAATCAAACATGGTTTTCGACCAATCACAGCGCGCGTAGTATCCTAAGTATTTTAGAAAGTTAGTTAAAAGTCGGTAAATACCTTACACGCACAGCTTTTCACGTACCTCAACAAACGATCCAAAAAGCGTCACAGGAAAAAAGTCACTACTATTCTGTGTGTTGAAGTTTTGCCAGGTCTCCGCGTGCTAAGAGAAAAGTACAGAATATCCACGAGATTAAGTGTTCATTAGCCGTCTGTAAACCTGACCTAATAACAACATTTACTTGCAGTAGATTTCACTGAATTCACGTTTCAATTTAGCTATTTTCGGAGCAATCGATAAACAGGATAATGACTAAAGTAGAAAACAACTATTGTTAGGTCTCAATGTGTGTATGTGGTTATTGGTCCTATGTCTACTGAGAAGGAATGGGCACCAATATATTTTGCAACCAATTCGTAGTAACTAAAAATCCCACGCCGGACGTATGCATCAAGCCTGTTAAACTAGGTACGGCACATCTAGTACCTAGTCAATCTGAGAAAAAACTAGGTACGGCACATCTAGTACCTAGTCAATCACTAAACAATCCTGAACAATCGCCTCGAAGAACGTTATTATTTAATTTTTACAGTTTAAATGAATAATGATTCGCTTATTGAATCGAAAACGTTTTCAACATAAATTTCTCGGGAATAAAAATTTCCTTCAGCTAATTAAAAGACGTTGTTATAGAAAATTATTTGCAGAGCGATATATCATAAAGGAAAAAGAAATATAAACTTTGTCCTTATATGGATAAACCCTAACTCTTGGTATTCCTGTGCCGTATACATGATCGAGTTTTTTTATTGACTCAGTTCCACTATAAATAGTTTGGATGTCAAGCCCGCACACTAGGTTTAGTTTTGGAGTGACCGTGGAAATCAAATCGTTTAGGAAAACATTCTCTGAATTATCTAACCGTTCCCTCCACCCAATAATAAACGTACCTTCCCTAAGCTAACAATCTGTTACGATTGTCATTATTTAAAGCAGTGGCGATGGAAACGAAAGCCTCAAAAAAGCAACGTCTTGATGCTTGTTATGGCAACGATATTGTTATGAACTGTCCACCGTTTATTGAAGACAAAGATCCACAAATGGAATGGCAGTACAAGACGACCACTGGGACGTGGAAAAGGGTAGCTAAACTCGACAAAACAGATATCAGCACTTACCTAAATGATACACATCTTGCAGGCAGACTAACACATCACCGTAATGGCTCAATACTAATTCAATCACTCAAGAACGAGGACACGGGGTTGTACCGCTGCGTTGTTCCGGGAACTGCTGGAATAAGGAAGATAAATGTCGTTAAACTGAACATCACTCGTTGTAATGCTGAGCAGTTTGATAACAACATAACCCGTCAGTTCAATAAAATTACAACCCAAGAGCCACGCAAAATCCGTCAGTATACTAGGTTTACAACCCAAGAGCCAGGGCAAACCCGTCAGGACAGAAGAAGTACGACCCAAGAGCCACGCCAAACCCGTCAGTATACTAGATTTACAACCCAAGAGCCAAACCAAAACACCACAACAAGAGTAGAAACATCGACAAGCACGTGGTCCACGATCAAACCTTCCATTCCAGCAATACAAACAATAGTAACCACGGTAACGACCACAGTCACAACCGTACATACGCAAGAAACTGCTGAAGAAAAACGTGATGACAGAATGCCAATCGAAAGTAAAACAGGTAAGAAAACAACACGACGTACACTGTTAACTAAAATTAGAATTTAACAATTAATATGATTCATACTTTTTACAGCTTGTACAGGGAACATGACTTCTGCGTCTGGTGAATTCCATTCACCCAACTTCCCACATGCATATCCTGCCAACACTGATTGCAAATGGACCATCACTGTTCCCCAGGACTACGCGGCCATTCATATCTTACTTGAGGCAATGAACCTGGAACACGAGAAGAGCTGCTTGTGAGTAACCCTGTGATATTAAGTGTTGCATAATAAGCTTGTTCACTCATACATGTCTTTTATTTAGAAATGACTTTATTGCCGTCTATGACGAGCTTGGTAACCAAGTCGGATCACGTATCTGTGGAGCGAGTGATTCACCAATCACAACTCTTGTGAAGGGAAGGATAGCTGTCATCGTATTTAAATCTGACCACTCGGTTGAAAAAACTGGGTTCAAGATAGTCTATTACGGCACCGGGATGAACCACAATGCATTACGCTAGAGCTATAAAAAAATGATGTTTGTAATGTATGTTGTTAAAAGTAAACGTATTTTTGTAGTTGAGTGAGATTTTATCTATTGTCTGCAGTGTAAGCCCAGATTATAACTCCAGCTTTGGACTCGCATGCAGGACTCGACGAGTCTTAGAAGATATTCTACGTGTTCTTCATTAGAAAAGGCTGGTGGTTGGAAAAACACGGGAACAGTTTTGATTCACGAGCTGAAAGCGAGCTTAAAATGGGGCATGGAAACACGGAAAATATTGTCTATGCTTTTACAAAATAACAACAACTCTTGTGTTTCTATGAAAGACAGCACTTCAGCACATTTTCAGCCAATCAATGCGCGCGTTATATAATAGTTATAAGTCAGTTGAGGTCGAATTAGACGGCACAACAGTTGGCCTATGACTGTTGCATGCAGCTTGTGTAAGTCTTCCTTGAAACAATGGCTAACTGTAGTAGGGATTTACAGAAATAGGCCTACGACAACTGTTGCCATGTTGTAAGGATGACTACGTAGATTCCATGTGATGGTTGCACGCAAAAGTCTACTTCGGCCATAAAACTATTTCCTTTCGTATATTTAAACGGCTTCAGTGAAATAAACGAGCGAATTCTATAAACAATGATTCTTTCGAAAGCAGACACGAAACTTAACTACCTTGGATTTATTATTGACTTTACTCCAACGAAAGATTAACTTCCGAAACGTCAGTAAATCATTTCACCTACAAAGTGTATCCGTGTCTAGACTCCTCGCAGCCGTTTTCTGGAAAACGTGTCTGGCAGTCGGACAATGTTGTGATGACTCAGTGCCCGGCAGTTGAAAATTTTCCTGAGTTTGGACTTATTACTTGTTTTTCAGGACGCTCGTAACACGATATTCTTGACTGCGCGCGGGTGTGCGCATCATGTGCATTGTCATGTTCCAAGTTATCTCATTCCATAATATTAATAGTTCCTTTAGAAACAATGAACCAGCCCATAAACTAATTTACCGCTAGTTCCGATCAAATTTTATAGGGGAAAAAATAAAAACTGTCAAATATTTTCACAGAATAGAAAATAATTTTTAGATTTTTTCCATTTATCGAAATGTGAAGTGTAGAAATAAGCTGTTTTTCAATGAGTGTTCTCATCAGTAATTTGTGGTTTTCACATGCGTCTCAGTTTCGTGTTTGTTATGTTTAAAGGGGAAGCTATTATGACGCAAAGATCGAGGCGGACTCTCAGTCACTTTCGATTATAAATGAAAAGGAACTAACAGCATCAACATACACTGATACGGCGGAATGGACGACGAAGAAGACTATCGGGTTGTATTGGAGAAATCTCGTTTTGAAATTGTACAACGACTACAGCTTGACCGATCATCATTGTTCGATTACTTAAGAAGCAAAGGTGTTTTTGATGCTAGTGACTGCGAAATTGTTTTGTCGGAGAAAACAAGAGAGCAGAAAGCGAGCAAATTCCTTGACATTTTACAAACTAAAGGGAAAGATGGCTTGACGTATTTTTTAGATATTCTTCAGCTTCTAAACCCTGGTCTGTATCAATGTATCACCGGCATGAAAGCAAGTAAGTTGAATATCGTCTGAGAAAGTACAAACAATAACCTACTTCTCTATGTTTACTTGATAACTCTTGTCTTTATCATCTTATTCGAGAGAGTATTAGATTTATATCAACTGCCTTAAAGAGGAATAGTATAGGGCTGTTTTTTCAATGAACATTAGTTTTCATATTAAAGATATTTCTATGGGTAAGTAAGGACCGAACTGCTTTCGACAAAGCGGGATAGGAAATGATTTTGCTCACAAAGTGAAAGTAGAAAGTGTAAATATAGATGGAGGTTTGCTCCTTGTAGAAGACACCAAGACCACGCCAACAATGTCTTAAATCAGATCGGTATTGCTTCTGAATAAGCTTGAATGACCATATATCATGCACCCACAATTAAGTTAGATCAGAGTTAGACGAATTAGACGGCCTCAACTTTTAACTACAACCATCGTATGCAACCTGCATAAGTCACCCTTGCAACACGACCACGACTGCTATTAATCAATTGTTTTTAATACCAACAACAATTGTAGCCATGTTATAACGATGACTTACACAGGTTGCATGCGATGTTGTAGGTAAAAGTTGTGCCGTCTAATTCGGCCTTTATAGACGCTAGCGCTAGACTTAGAAGGACCTTGTTGATATCACTTATGACTTAAATGACTTAATTATCAATTAAATGTCTGGCAATGTGGCTGAAACACACAAGGCTTTATCTATAATGATGTGTTCTCAATGTCTGGCAATGTGGCTGAAACACATAAAACTTTATCTATAATGATGTATTCTCATTTACTGAGTTCGAGTCGATTAAGAGTTGCCAATTTCATTATGGTGATAAAATCCATCAATTAAAATTACATTTAGTATTAGTATTTTCAGTTCGTGGAATTGCTAGGCGGAGAAAACTTTCCAAGGAAAATATCCGCTATAGTTTTTGAGAATTCTCAAACAGTACAGCATTAATTTGCATCGCTTAGAGTCAAGCGCTTCCATCTAGTAAAGAAAAAAATAATAATATAAAATATAATAAAATATGCCGTTTTTAAGTGCTGGTATACATGAGATATCATGGTCCTTACTCAGAAACTGTATCGATCCACCTTGACAAGTCTCTCAATTCTCAAATATGTCCATATATAGAGTGATCTAAATTTAGAGCAGACACACGTGAAGTCGAAAAGTACAAATAATAATAACTTATGCTAATTGCTTTTGTCTTTTATTGATTAAAAGCACTATTTAATAGTAATTAATAATATTTGTTTCACGTAATAAGTCTATCAAAATAGGTGCTCGTTCCCCCGGGGGGGACTCCCTAATATCAAAGGGCGGGGGTCCTCGGCGTCCCTTTTAGGGTTTGAATCAGTATTTTGGTCCCGCTTAGGGTGATCATGACAAGAATTCCTACCAACTGTGTTTTGTGGTCCCTTTTAGGGTATACGGCGACCCTAAGCAGTCATAAAATGGCAACGTCGTCATAAACTCAATACGAGCCGACGGTGTTCGATGATTGTGTAAAAACACAAATAAAATCGATAAACCAAAACAAAATGACCTGTTATTGATTGGTCCCTTTTAGGGTTGAAATTTCAGCACTGCCACGCCCATCATCTCGCAATAGTGGTCCCTTTTAGGGGTCATTTTCACAATCTCCGCCGAGGACCCCCGCCCTTTGATATTAGGGATTCGATTTCGAAAATTACAAAGAATGTATGTTTGGCTGGACGCTTTGGCTGGACACCATACATTTCTTTGTAATTTTGGCATGGTTTGAATGTCCGTAACTTTATTGCTATAAGTTCAAACATCATGAAACTTAGTCAGTAAGCCTTTTGTATGGTGCTCTCTCACATGATGGGGTTATTCTTTCTGGAACCATTATTTAATTAGATTTTGAAGTTTGTACCCAGTCCCTTTTTCGTTTTGTTATCGGCCAGTTGAGTCTAGTTGACAAAAAACTTGACTGCTCAAAACCAAAATATTTTCACCATACATACATACTAAATCGGTTTGTACGTTTTCAGACCCATGTCGCATTTGGGAAAACATGCGTGACAGGTTTGCAATCGGTAAGTTTATTGATTGACGTACCACATTTAAACTACCTACTAACCAGTTATCTTGCTCAATAAGGCAATTGTAGTCAAGTACCACATTTAAACTACCTACTAAACAGTTATCTTGCTCAATAAGGCAATTGTAGTCAAGTTCCAGACGTAGAGCTACTAAGTGGTCAACTAAAACGAACCATTGACGACCTGCAGGATTTGGCCCTTCGCAACCAACAACTTCTAAAAGAAAACCACAACTTGGGAATGAAACTTGACCAGGCGTCTACCGATCTCGACTTGAAGCATCGTCGAGTCGAGGTTCTTGAAAAACAAAAACATCATTCAGAACGAGGCGTGTTAGAAGCACACAGCAACGCCAACAGACTGAGTGAATGTGTAACACAACAGCTACGTGTGTTACAACAAGGACTATTTGAACGTAATACTTACATTATCGCTTTACAAATGAAACTACTCGCAACAGAAGAAGAGATCAAAGAATCAAGGAAAACACAAGATGAGTTAAGAGCTAATAATGAGATGCTGTCAGCCAAGTGGCACGAACTTTCCAGGAATTATGACCACGAACGAAGAGAATCGATGAAACTGAGCGCCAAACTTAAATCCCAGAAAGGGAACCTTAAGAAAGAGTTCAAACAAATCAACCAGAAAATGATTGACGAAAGAAATGAGTCACTTTATAAGCTCGAGGATCTAAAGGACTGGACGGAAGCACTTAAAGCGAGATACGATCTTGTGGAACAGGAGTATCAGCAGGTAAATACAGACTGCATTGTATTGCTTACAACATTACATGCTGTATTGATCCCCCCTATCGAACAGACATTCTACTAACAGACCTGGTCAATATGAAGGTTGCGACTACATGATTATACATTTGAATACACGCTGTCGTTTGATTGGCTTCATCCCTACGTGCTTAGACCGAGAGGGATTATGGTGATAATTAATTCCCAGTTACTTTCTGCTGCTCGTCTTGAGCTCGCTGTTTTCGATCCCATTCGTTGCTAAAACCATGCCTCGAGTAGACACTTAAAAACATTGTCCCAGAAAAAGAACTTTTGCTATTTAGGAATTAATCAGCAAAATACAAAAGAAAGTTGTCATCCAGTGATCATCTTTTTTATCTTAATTAATGTATTCTTTGATCCCTAAACCTCAGGATAATGTTCACTCAAAAGTAACCTATTTGGACATCGTCCCTGATGGACTAGAGTCAACGCACTTGTACCGTGAAACATAAACAAAGAAGTTATAGTAACTAGTGACCGCGGAGCAGGGGGGGCTGGGGGGCTATAGCCCCCCCAATAATTTTTCCGCCATTTTGAATTTTCTTAAATAAAGAAGCGCAGAGCCTCCTTATGAAATTTCACTTTTCATTGTATTTAAGATTGTGTAAAAACCAAGCATGAAAAATTATTGAACCTTTTTGCGAAGTCTTTGGGACTTTTTTGAATATCGTGTGACCGTGTGTGCGGTTTTAGCGGTCAGAAATATGTCTGGGATAATGCTTCAAAACGCTGGAAATGACATTTCCGAGAGTTAAGATTTCAAAATCTTCCGGTGTGTAATTTCCCCGGATTCTACCTAGTACCTCCTGCCTTTGCAGCCGATAGCCCCCCCAAACAAATTACCGCTCCGCGGTCCCTGAACTATTAGTTTTTATTTACTGACCAATTGTATCTAATAGTAGATATAACTGAACCGAGAACAATTCATGAAAACAAAAGTTAATACACAAGAGACTTGGAAGCTACACAATCTTTTTCAAAGCTATCTAATGAGGAAGGAGGAATTGCCCTATTTCATTATGACGTCACATCAAAACATTCTATTGTTTTAACGTTAAGGATTATGGTCGCCAGAAGGGATCAGAGTGACTGCATATCAAATGAAATGTACATAAACAATCATTTATACATGATATATATCAAAACGCGATTCATTGAGGTTCTACTTAAGTAGAMAATATAAATGGGTCCAAATTTCCACTGTTTTTGAGCATCGTTTTCCGATGTAAACATACTGTGAAATCATAATGAAACAGGGCAATTAAATTGTGTCCCATCCACAACGAAGAAATATAGAGTTGGACATAGTTCTTCGTTAAATACAGAACGGAAATGTACGATCTAGAACTTGTGACAAGTCGGGTTTATTGAAAGGGCATAAAAGGAAATGCCCTATCTATATGTGTACATATGAAATAAAAGAAAGTTTGATAAAATAACATTTCAAAACCAAATAAATGCGGATTGAGTTCACATTAAATTAAGTTGTGCAGTTTTCAATTCTCTTGTGTATTGCCTTTTTGCTTTCATGAATTGTTCTGGCTCAGTGATATCAACTATTTGTATAAACATACTAATGGTCTATCACTCATACTGCGCTGTGATTGGCTACTCTACTAATGGTCTAATTTGTGATAGACCACTCGCGGGAAAATCAAAATAAATAAATTATAAATTATTTTAAGGATATTTCAATTTGTTTTCATTATTTGGCCGATTAGTATGTTTATACTAATTAACAATTAGACTCGCGGACTCGGCCTCATGGGCTATTAGCTCGTAGTCCACTCGACCTCGAGGTCTAATTGTTAATTAGTCAGTTAATAGACACTAATATAGTTACTGTTAATTTTGATCATATTTCACGGTACGTGACTCCATGATGTGAAGTGGCTCTTTGTTTGCTTTCCATTGTGAAATCGTCATCATCTAGAAAACAATTAATCATTCATTTTAATTTATCCGTAATCCCAAACATGCTGTTCCAATAATTTACGATTTCCACGATAGAAAAGGACAAAAATATTAAGCTTTCATTGTCTTGTCTCTAGTTACAGCAAAATTTCGTTTCCGCTGCAACAGAGAACTCAAAGTTAAAAGAAGAGATAGAAGAATTGAGACTCCAGTTCTCCTTGAGTAAGATAAGAGTCAGTGATTTGAAAGGCTGGAATGCAGACCTTGAAGATACTGTCAAACAATATCGAGACCAAAGAGACTACTTTTCCGAAGCAAGGTAAAGCTGTCAACCGATGTTGTTGAGGGTGGTAAGACTGCCAACAACAACAATAACAATACTTGATTTGCACCATCAAGGGCGCCAGGACAACCATAACAGTTTTTGAATGATATTACGTTTGTATTTGTTATAGCCTTAAGTATCGTAGAAATTCACTTATCTGACTTCTTGTGTATATCTTGAGTGTATCCCGAATTCCCTTAAATARATAGATAGATTTTTGGCGATTGGTGGGCAATTTTCTCCACTCCTAAAGGGACGTCGTAAAGGTCAAAAGCTAACCAAAAGCTGTACGTGTTTATTTCAGTACGTCACGTTATTTAACGGCCGTTTATTACGTACTAGTACGTACCGTCAGCTTATGCAGCCGCGCGATTTAATCTACGTCACTAATATCGTTAATCGGAATTACCCTTACTAAAATACCCCGGTAGGCAACTAGGCCGCTTTCCATTGTTCTCTCGTTTGCTGGGTTAATCCCATTATTCTGAAATGTGGGGTGTCCATCTATTACTCGTGACCAGACCCAGCAGACGAGAGAACAATGGAAAGCGGCCTAGTTGCAAACCCCGGGGTATTTTAGTGAACTTAAGGTAAATTCCTTAACTATATTAACGATATTAGTGACGTAGATTAAATCGCGCGGTTGCATAAGCTGACGTTACGTATACCAGTACGTGAAAAGGGACTGTGCAATAATTACCAGGAGGCGTGGCCGTAAAACCAGAGGGGGGGGGGGGGGGATACATAAAATTGATGGCAAGATAGGGGGTCTCAAAGTAAAATTAACTAATTAACAGAGGGGGTGGGGGCCTTTTAAAAGTTTAAAAGTTTCATTCAAACTTTTCATAATTTTCGATGTCTCTCAAATGCTGGAAATCGCATTTCCAAGAGTTATTTCTTTCAAAGTTTGAAAAAATTTTCAAAATTTTCTGGAGGACCAGTCTCCCTTAATACTCCCCCCTTTGGCGTTCGTTAGACCCCCAGCAGATCCAAAATATATGTGCTGGTTCCTGACAAGTCCACGCTACGCGCCTGACTAATGGGAATCTAAATTCAAAGACTCGTTGATGTGTGATTGTCATTGTGTGATTGAAATTGACCAAGATATGAAGTAATGTTTAAAGTCCTCCAATTCGGACTGGACGGGATTTCAAGTCCGCGCAATTAGTTCCAGTCCGAGGCGTGAACGACTTCTCATATTCATTAATTATTCGGGAGGGGTAAAAAGCGAAGGAAATACATGACAGGGCAATGACAGTGCATTAGCTAAGGACGTGAACTTTTTTTTTTTTTTTTTTTTTTTTTTTCAGAAACACTGCTTTGACGGAAAGAGACGAGATTCACAAGGAGCTCGAGGTAACCATCTCTCGTTGCAAAGAAAAGCTGACAGAAAGAGAAGCCATGATTACCAAGCTAACAGAACATGGCAAACAGTTTGAAGAAAAGTACGAATTGGCATGCACAGAGATAAAGAAACTACAACAAAGGAATACAACTGCAGAACAACAACTAGAAGACCTGAGACTTAAGAGAGTCAAAGCAAATAGCTGTGGTACACAAACTGACATTGTAAGTGATTTATGTTGCACTGGCTTTCTTCTTTTTTTTAATTTTATATGACGTCATTCTTCTTATTTTATGGTAGATTGACACTGGGCAATGTGAAGAGAATTCAGAGGCATCGTCTCCAGATCTGAATACCGATGCAATCGAACATATCAAGGGGTATCCATGGAAACATCGTCGTGACGTCAATGAGATCATGCATAGTGTACGTAAACGAGTAACTGGGCAACACCATAAGGCGATGAGTCTTGACCGATCATTAGATATGCTAAACGTTGATGGCTCCTTGTCTCAGGAGGCAAAGAAATGCCTAAGTCTTCAAGGAGGTAATCTTTTGTTCAAGACTCCTCCAACCTACAGCCTTCTACGTGTCATGTTTGGTCTATCCGTGGGCGGCCACTTGGGGAGTTTAGCAGATTTGTCAGCAGACCAGGAAGAGGAAGAGAAACAGGAAGGTACATACACAGATACTACAGACAGTGTTTCACCAGACGACGCTTTTGACAAGTTTATAGACCTCGAATACGATGACGTCGACCAGAACTCGAATCAGGGACAATTCATCAGTAGTGAGAACACTGCAGAGGAGCCAAAATTAAGAAGAACCTTCACAAAAAGTTTTTCATCTCCAAATATTAAGGTAAAGACCGCTGACGAGCTTAGAATACCGCGAGACAAATCGCAAGGCAACGAAGAGGAAGACTTCCACTGGGTTACGGAGCATGAATTGGATAGAGCTCAGTTTGCTGTGAATGGTAAAGTCAGTGGTAAAAAAATCAAATCTCGATCTCCAGCCTTTCGCCAACGAGCTTGGGCGATAAAGAAGAAAGGGCAAAGAAGCACATCGGAACCAGCAATACTTTTTCCTTGCCACCAAAATGAACACGTCGAAATATCAAGCCAAGAAACTACTGATAGATAGTGACAATTACCAAGCCACGACTGACAACTCATAGATAGAGAATATTAATATCAAGACATGCGACTGATAGATAGTCATAATTACCTGACACGACATACAAAGCCAAGACTTATATAGTTAGATAGTCAAAATTACCGAGCCTGACAACTGATAGTGAACATTACCATTAGGTACATTCGCTTGTACGAAGTACATGTAGTATTACGGCCATAGGAATTCATACAAAATCTATGGATCAGTGAAGTGTTGGGACCAGTTGTATAAAGGGTGCTTATCTTCTTATCAGCAGTACTGAAGCCTTGCATTCATATCATCGTCCCAATCCATTTGCTTGAGGACTTTCACGCGATCGCAAGACGATTCCGGACACCATTATGGAAACTAGGCTTTATCTCTTGCCCTCTGGTTTAGGGTGCAAGAACGAATTGCATATGAAACATTGCTTGGTTTGATTTTCACCCTTAAGCAATTATCACATAAATCAACACAGCCATAGTTTTAACTATTAAAATAGATTAAGTCTATATCACCATTACTGAGTTGTCCCATCCAAAGCATCAAACATCTATCAGCAACTAACAGCTAACCAACAAGTAACTGAAGCGCCATCAATCTCGTACTACGACAATCAGTTAGTAACGAAAAAAAAACTCTATAACATGAGAAACATAACCATATTTATCATATGACCCGTATTTCGGCCCTACGCGCGCTCTCACTGAAACCTTTGGAAAATGGTCACGTGATGGGATCCGTACGCCTTTTCGCGACAGGTCCGTACAAACCCGTAGATGCGCTCGCTGCGCTCGGTCCGTACGGCATAACCTCGAGCCAAATATTTTCCCGTACGGCCCTCCCACTCAGTCAATAAGTACATAATATCGTCATCATAAGAAAATGGCCATAGTTCTTATGCTTACGATTACGCTCGATCGCTCCGACTAGTAAGTGGCTAGCTTTTTTATTAAAAGAAACAAATGAAAATCTATTTTAAAAATAAAGATAAAAACTAATATGAAAATATTGAAATAAATGAATAAAATGAAGAAATAAATTAATAGACAAACAAATAGCACCTTTAATTTTCTCCATCACGCTTACCAACTATTTGTCTCGTCAGGATATTCATAAAAAAACAGTTTTATATCACCGGGGTCATAGTCCTATCAGTAGAAATGCTCAGAAACTTCGACGTAGCTTTCACCCAAACGTTTTTCTCTTACTCATCACTGAACCTCTCGTGAAAAAATCTTCAGTAGCAGAGCAAAGYTGTCGAAATCGGGCTACGATCTCGCAGAAATTGTCGGACGCTCGGGTAAACTATGACAGGGAAAAAAATAAAATTATAGCAGCACTTGATCTAAAACTGTCTAAGGGACCGCGGAGCGTGAGTTTGTTTGTTCGGGAGGGAGGGGGGGAGGGGAATTTTTGGAATCTTAACTCTCGGAAATGTCATTTCCAACTTTTTGAGGCGTTACCTAAGACATTTTTACCGCACACACGGTCAGCGATATTATCAATAAAATGCCGAAGACTTCGCAAAAATTAAAAGCTTTACAATTGTTCACGCTATGTTTTGTACACAATGTTTATAGAGAATGTATAATGGTGGAAGTTTCATAAGGAGGCTCTTCGCTTCTTTATTTAAGAAAATTCAAAATGTCGGTAAAAATGATTGGGGGGCTATAGCCCTCCAGCCCCCCTGTAGCCCCCCCGCGGTCCCTGTAGTTACTATAACTTCTTTGTTTATGTTTCACGGTACAAGTGCGTTGACTCTTACTTTTGAGTGACTTTTGAGTGTATCCCCCCCCC